AAGTGGAGTACTTTGCATTTGTCCTTATTGCATTTCATTCTATTTACTTCAGACCATTTCTCCAGTTTGTCCAGATCATTTTGAATTTTAATCATATCCTCCAAAGCACTTGCAACCCCTCCCACCTTGGTATCATCTGCAAACTTTGTAAATGTACTCTTTATGCCATTATCTAAATCACTGATGAAGATATTGAACAGAACCAGACCCAGAGCCGATCCCTGCGGGATCCCACTCATTATGCCCTTCCAGTATGACTCTGAACCACTGATAACTACTCTCTGGGAACAATTTTCCAACCAGTTATGCACCCATCTTATAGTAGCGCCATCTAGGTTGTATTTCCCTAGTTTGTTTACGAGAAGGTCATGCGAGACCGTATCAAAAGCCTTACTAAAGTCAAGATATGCCACATCTACCACTTCTCCCCTTTCCACAAGGCTTGTTACCCTGTCAAAGAAAGCTATCAGGTTGGTTTGACATGATTTGTTCTTGACAAATCCATGCTGACTGTTATTTATCACCTTATTATTTTCTAGGCATTTGCAAATTGATTGCTTAATTATTTTCTCCATTATCTTTCCGGGTACAGAAGTTAAGCTCACTGGTCTACAATTCCCTGGGTTGTCCTTATTCCCCTTTTTTTAGATGGGCACTATATTTGCCCTTTTCCAGTCTTCTGGAATGTCTCCCATCTTCCATGACTTTTCAAAGATAATTGCTAATGGTTCAGTCAGCTCCTTGAATATTCTAGGATGCATTTCATCAGGCCGTGGTGATTTGAAGACATCTGACTTGTCTAAGTAATTTTTGACTTGTTCTTTCCCTATTTTAGACTCTGATCTTACCTCAGTTTCACTGGCATTCACTATGTTAAACGTCCAATCACCAACAATCTTCTTGGTGAAAGCCGAAACAAAAAGTCATTAAGCACCTCTGCCATTTCCACATTTTCTGTTATTGTCTTTTCCTTCTCATTGAGTAACAGGCCTACTCCGTCCTTGGTCTTTCTCTTGCTTCTAATATATCTGTAGAATGTTTTCTTGTTTCCTTTTATGTCCCTAGGTAGTTTGATCTCGTTTTGTGCCTTGGCTTTTCTAATATTGTCCCTACATACTTGTGGTGTTTGTTTATATTCATCCTTTGTAATGCACACCTGGTTAAGCCAGGATGGTCTCTTGCCATACTTCCTGTCTTTCCTACACAGTGGGATAGTTTGCTCTTGTGTCCTTAATAATGCCTCTTTGAAAACTGCCGTCTGCAATTGTTTTTCCCCTTAGACTTGCGTCCCGTGGGATTTTACCTACCAACTCCCTGAGTTTGCTAAAGTCTGCCTTCTTGAAATCCATTGCCTCTGTTGTGCTGTTCTCCCTCCTACCGTTCCTGAGAATCATGAACGCTACCATTTCATGATCACTTTCACACAAGTTTCCTTCCACTTTCAAATTCTCAGCCAGTTCTTCCCTATTTGTCAAAATCAAATCTAGAACATCCTCTTTCCCCTTCCCCCCCCCCCCCCCCTGTAGCCTTCTCCACCTCTGAAATAAAAAATTGTCTCCAATACATTCCAAGAACTTGTTGGATAATCTGTGCCCTGCTGTGTTGTTTTCCCAAGAGATGTCTGGGTAGTTGAAGTCGTCCCCCCCCCCCCCCAATTACCATCAAGTCCTGTGCTTTGGATGATTCTGTTAGTTTTAAAAAAAAGCCTCATCCACCTGGTTCTTTCCTGGTTTGGTGGTCTGTAGTAGACCCCTACCATGACATCACCCTTGATTTTTTTAGCCCTTTTATCCTTACCCAGAGACTTTCAACAAGTCTGTCTCTTGTTTCTATCTCAACCTCAGTCCAAGTGTATACATTTTTAATATATAAGGCAACACCTCCTCCCTTTTTTCCCTGCCTGTCCTTCCTGAGCAAGCTTTGTCCTTCTGTACCAATATTCCAGTCATGTGTATTATCCCACCAAGTGTCCATGATGCCAACTATGTCATAGTTGTTTACTAGCATTTTGAGTTCTTCCTGCTTATTCCCCATACTTCTCACATTAGTATACAGACATCTAAGATACTGATTTATCTCCCTTCTCCCCCCCCAACCCGGTTCTGTCTTGTCTTTCTTTTATTTAGTCTATAACAGTCCATGCTCCCCGCAGATTCCGACCCATCTCCAAGGTCTCCATGTTTTTGACTTACCTGTGGGCTTTGGTCACCTGCCCCCATATTTAGCATGTGAAGCTGGAGAAATATTTTATGCCTTTTATGTTTAAATATAAGATTTTAAAGTTCTGGATTAACTCCATGACTGGTTAATTACTTACATTTATTTGCAAATTTTGGCTGTAAAAATAGTAAAGTCTTAGTGCTCTGTGGTCACTCAAGAGCTTGTAACATCTTTGAGCTTCAGTCATTGTCATTTTTTTAAATGAAATAAAAGATGCCTGGAAGATCAACAGCAAACTACTTCAGTTCAGGATGGAGTATCTGGAGTGTCTACTGTATTATTCCTCAAGTCCTGGAATCTGCGAGCTATCTATGTTCCCCCATTTCATAATCACTAAACCTTGTTAATGAATTAAACAGCTCCATGTCCTAGGATTTATGTTCCTAGTTCTATGTAAAAGAAACTTGAGATATCACAGATTTGCAGAAGTTTTAGCTGCATTGCTGAATTGGGGTGTGTGTGTTTCCTATAATAGCCATCAGCCATAACCTATCCAATATGGTCGAGGTGATGGTAGGGATGAAAAAACTTTAAAATCTTTTGAACAGTGTTTCCAGAGAATGTTTGCAAAAAGAAAAGGACGACTTGTGGCACCTTAGAGACTAACCAATTTATTTGAGCATAAGCTTTTGTGAGCTACAGCTCACTTCATCGGATGCATACCGTGGAAACTGCAGCAGACATTATATACACACAGAGATCATGAAACAATACCTCCTCCCACCCCACTGTCCTTAGGAGCTGTAGCTCACGAAAGCTCATGCTCAAATAAATTGGTTAGTCTCTAAGGTGCCACAAGTACTCCTTTTCTTTTTGCGAATACAGACTAACACGGCTGTTACTCTGAAACCAGAGAATGTTTGTTTCAAAAAGTTTCACCACTGGACACACTAGACAAAGAGATTGGATTAATCATTGGACTTTGTGGGCCATATTCTCTGCTGGTCTAAATGAGTGAAACTCCATGATGTCAATGGAGCTTCACTAATTCTTAAAACTTGTGTATCTTTTGCTTTGTAATTGATTTTTCTGAACGTAGGTAACTTTTGTAAACCATGCTGCAGTTCAATGGTTTAAATCACTGTTTCTCAATGACCACTCCGTGGGCTGGCCCCAGTCCCTCAGATCTCCCTGACACAGTTTAGGAAGGCAGCAAACTGCTCACTGGTATCAAAAAGGTTGAAAAACACTAGTTTAAATAATATATTACGCATGTAAAACAAACATAAAAACCTTATAAACAGAAATTGACATTGTACAGTCACAAATGCTTGTAGGCTGAATGATGTCACAAGTCACCTTTCTAGAGAAGGTACAGTAGAATCATCAGAGTTATGAACTGACCAGTCAATCACGCACCTCATTTGGAACCTGAAGCACACAATCAGACAGCAGCAGAGACCAGACAACCCCCCCCCCCCCCCCCCAAAGCAGGTACAGTACAGTACTGTGTTAAACGTAAACTACTAAAAGAAAAAAAGCATTTTTCTTCTTGGTAGTAAAGTTTCAAAGCTGTTTTAAGTCAATGTTAAGTTGTAAACTTTTGAAAGAACAGCCATAACGTTTCGTTCAGAGTTATGAACATTTCAGAATTGTACGAACATTCCCGAGTTCTACTGTAACTCACTTTGTTCCTCTGGAAGCGTTTCAGTTTCCAGGCAGATGTGGTTTTAAAAGGCTGTAGTTGCTGTTTCCGTTCAATAGTATTGAAGAATTTCATGTAGTTTTAAGAATTTAGGAATGTGTTTTCAAGCATCTAAATCCAGTCGGGGCAGTTGCTATAGTCGTTGTGTAGTCATAACTCTTGGCAGAGATTTGGTGGCCTCTGTGAAATTCATTGGTGGTCTTAATCCAGTTCCTATCAGATCAATATACTCATCAGGAGGGCTACCATCACAATAGGTATCCATGTTGTCAGTGAAGGCAGAAGTGTTAATGGTTTGAATGGATATAGAGGCTGTATTATGCACTTGCATGTCCATGTGATTCTTGTAGGTCAGGATAAAGTGTGCTGATGGAGGAGCTTGGATATCATTGCTCTTGGATTTTCAGTTTTCAATGTTGCCGAAGTGTCAATCTAGCACTTTCCATAAGCACATAATTCAGATTTAGAAAAGTAAAATCAGAACCTGCCAGACAGGCATAAGAACCTGTCAACTGAAAGAAACTTCTTTATTTGTGGGGAAAAATAATAAATAAAAATAATGAAATTTCCTGTTTCTACTTTTGGTAACCCCCAGAAAGGAAGGCTAGGCATGACCTGTAGGGCCAAGCTAGGTTTGCTGAGAAGTGCTTTTAGCCTTAAGAGACCCCTTATCATCCCTAAAACCGGAAGGGAGTTGGTATTTAAAGGTCAGGAGTTATTAGTGTAATTGTGCAGAAAGTTGTGGTGTTAACAGGTTATAAGATCTTGCATTATTATTGGACATCCTGAACACTTGTGTAACAAAACTAACCCCCCACTATTGCCATAACTTTAGCAATACTGGGGTAGTGCTGGATTACTAGCTCATATTTTATAGAGTCAAATACTGAGCTGAAACATTATGCTTGTTTTACTATATATGTAATGTGATAAAATGTTGACTCTGCTGCTTCATAAATCAGTGTCACTTGTAGATATTTTTTCAAGTTTGAAAATTTTACCACAAACTGTTATCCTTTGCCAAGCATCATCTTTTTTTGCTCTTGAAAATGTTGATGTCCATTTTCTTCTTTAATAATTAATAAAATGTAGATTTCAAAACACTAATTCTATATTTTTTTCTTCCATTTTTCAGCGGAACCCCTGCCTTTAATGGACTTGTGCCGAAGATCAATTCGCTTTGCTCTTGGCAGAGATCGCCTGCATGACATAGAATCTCTACCTTTGCCCCAGTCTCTGAAAAATTATTTACAGTATCAATAAGAAGTCTTAGAACCCTTTTTCTGGCCTCACATTGGACTAAATCAATGCAAATGGCAGAAATTATTGTTTACATCAAAATAGAAATCTTTGTGGTGGACACGAGTGTTATTTAATTTTTAATATATATTTTTTTCTGAATCATCTGAAGCAGAACAATTTGCATACTAAAGAATGCAAAAATATGAATTTGATCTAGAGTCACAAATTATCTGTTGCCTCTAGGACAGTATCCAAGATTGAATTCTCCCACTCAGATCATTAGCTGGCACTTATTGGCTTAGCTCCGCTGACTTCCAGTAGACACCAGCTGAAAATCTGGCCCCCAAGAGTTATCCTTATGCACAAGAGCATCCTTTGAATAATGTGGTTACTAGTGAAAGAAATAACACTGTGTTAAGTTAACAATAATGTCTAAATCTTAAAATTTGATGTGCAGAGATGCTGAGTAATCACAGTTTATCTGGAGTCTTGAATACTTAGCCCTTAATGTGTTAGAGGACCTATCATGTTTAAAATATATGAAGTAAGTCATTACATAGAACATCAGTGCTGGATTTAATGATACATAAGAAAAATTGTTCCTGAAGAGTGGAATATCAACCAAATTGGATATGGTAATAAAGTCAATGCAGTCCAGTGTTTTCAAGACCAAATCTCATTCCTCCAAAGTTCTGCATAGTTTATAACAACAAAGCTGTTCACTATCTTGAGATTTTAGGATATTCACATTTTAAGAAGCCTGTCACTTTTTTATTTGAACAAAATTATTATTTTTGTTATACCAACTCTAAATACTTCTGCTCTCTTTTTAATGTATGTGTGATATATTGTTTATTTATCTGTTTAACATCTGTGGAGTCCTCATTTAACTGTTTCCATCTTGGAAGGACTGATTTATTCCCCCCTCCCCCCCAGCTGTATTCATTTTTCAGGCTCAACCTGTTCTTAAAGATGCTGCTTTCTGTTTGCATTTCTTATGTTTCAAGTTATCTGTCTGATCAGTTATCTAGTTTTTAAACTGGAAGTTGTTGTAATGGCAGGATGTCGATTGTTGAGACTTAACTGCCTTCAGCATATTTTAATGTGAATTTACTGATGAATGAGGAGAAAATTTCTAATAAAGTCTACTGTCCAAAATGAAACCAGTGTCTCCTTTCATTAACTATTAGATATACTTAACAGAAGCAATACATTCCGAGTTGAAGTTTGTTTCTGTAACACTTACGCTGCTGCTTCTGTGTGGTGTTTCTATGACAGAGGGGTAGGTAAAAAGGGAGATGGACTCTTCTATCTTAACAGTGCCAATGCCCTGCTGCTGACATGTCCTAGTCACTGTGGGCTTGTCAGCACCGAGATCAGTTCTATACTATATTGCAATAGGTCTTGCAGAGGGGGAGGCTGCGAATTACAAAACATGTTATATCTCTTCCCTCATTTTTTCCTAGTCCACTCACTTTTTGCTTTACTCAAGCCTTTTGCCTAACTATTCCTTTGTTCTATCCTCTCCTGCTCTTATCTTAATGCCTTCTTCCATTGCTGCTCTTTGTTCTTGAAAAAATCTTCCAGTTGTGTGCCCAGTCAGCCTCGCTCTTCAAAGCAGAAACTTTCCATGAAACCTTGCAATCAATGTTCCCCAAAATATCATACAAATTTGAAAGAATGTAACAAAAAAACTTCTCCCATCTGATGTATGATCTATGGCAAATCATACTTCTCAAAAAGCAGTGACTGTTCCTCCCATCGTTCACTGGGGCGGCAAGTGGGACAATTTGCCCCAGGCCCCGAGGCCCACTGGGGTCCCCACGAGAATATCTTGAGGTCTGAGACAGGGAAGGGGCCCCTGAAATTGCTTTGCCCCAGGCCCCCTGAATCCTCTGGGCAGCCCTGCTACAGAATACCCTTCCTTTCCTATAGCCCATCCCACCATGTCTCCTGCGATACTCTTGTGTTTTTAACCAGTTTAAATTGGAAGAATCACAGGACCCCTTTAAAATGGTGTGTATACCTATGGTGCTATGTAAATAATCTTATTGTTTGAGGATATGGGGAGGAGAAGTAAGGAGAGGAAATAAGAAACCACCGAAATGCCAACATGTCGTTGTGCTGGGCAGTCTGACATATGTAAGGCAAAGACAATAACTTTTAGAATGGTGCAGAGTGACAGGAAGACTTTGTGCAGAACTGAAGGACATCTCAGGTAAGCACTTCAGAAAATCCGTGTCTTGTCCTTTAGCCCCATTGAATGACCCACAGTCATTCCTTTTAATGACTGTGCCAACACACAACTGTTATATTTCAGATGTTATCTTTCAAAACCCTTTTGTACCGTGACCCATGCTTGAATCTTCTTTTGTCAATGCAAAAGTTGTGTGTGTGTGTGAGAGAGACACACACATATACTAATGTCCACTGGGAGCAGAACTGAAACAAATCCATAGCAAATCTCCCCTTACACTCTGTCAATAACTGGCTTAATGATACAGCTTGGATTTGGACTTCCAGTAGAGGAATGTTCAATTACCATTCTCCCATTGTGTCGGGGAAGGAAAGTGTCAGGTTAATAATCATGGAGGTATTACAACAGCACATATCAAAAAGCAGATTTGATTATGTAAAAAAAAAGTTTTAATATTTTAAAGTAATAAAATATTTTAAAAGCACATTGATTTCAGTGTCTGATTTTCCATGCAGTGCAGCCTTTTGCCTTCCACTCATTTGGTATAGCCTCTCCTGCTCTTATTCAACCCCTGGCCATGGTGCCATCTTCAGAGAAGTTCTCAGGCTACCTGCAGGAGACCTGAGTTTGCAGGTAGCTTGTGATGTCTCTCCAGGAAGAGAAGCCCTATAGCAGATTAATGAATGTGAAGTACGTCTTCCTGTCATCACACTGCAAAAACAGGCTTTTGTCCCCTTCCAGGAAACTTTATAGGGAAACAAGCACAGCCCATTTATAGTGATGAGATCAAGGCTTACAATCTAAGAAGCCAAAAACACCCACACATACAAGTGGACAGTAAAGACACAGAAGATGACAGTCACCCTGAATGGCATTATTTACACTAACAGTGAGTAAAAAACTGAAAACAGGATTTTTTTGAAAAAGCTGTTTAAACATCTCCATTACCAAAAACATTATAGAAAACCTTACAATCCAACGTCTCTCAACCCGAAAACAGCCAACGGAGCCACCTTCACAGACAGACTAGTTCTTTCAATATGTGTCCTAGACGTCTTGGGCAAGATTGGAGTTCTTTGCATAGCAGTGTCTGCTGGTGCTATGCATGCACCTGTGCTGCCACCTGCTGCCATGTAAGGACGTGAAGGACAGAGCAGCTGCAACCCTCACTCTGTTCCTTTGTACATGGCAGTGAGATGGAACCCAGCAAGTGCGCTGGTTGGTTGAATACCATGGGCAGAGATTGCTTCCTACAGGTTCAGGAAATCCTGGTACAGAGCAAGAAAACATCTATCAGACTAACAATCATCTGAACGGAAGGGATTATTGATATCAGCCACCCAATATGGTCTGGACCCAATCCAGGCCTCTATACTGAAGATCATTGACTTCTTATTTCACATGAAACAGTCTGGCCTTTCATTTGTCTCGGTTAAGATTCACCTCACAGCAATCTCAGCTTGGCATATGCCTGTACGATCTTGTTATGTTCAGTTTGTCTCATCCCATAGTGTCAAAGTTTCTCAACGTGCTATTACACACTTACCCACCTACTCCTGCCTGGGGTCTCAACATCGTCCTCTTCATGGTCATGAAACCACCATTTGAGCTTCTCTCAGAATACTTCTTACATCACCTCTCCACAGTCAGCTTCCCAGCAGCTATCATGTGAGCCAGGAAGGTGAATGAGCTTCAGACACTTATGGCCAAACCACCTTATTCAATATTCTGTAGCCACCCTCAGCACTACGAGAAAGGAATTGCTCAAACTTAGAGGCAGCCAGAACTTGTTTTTATTTCATTGACAAGATCAAACCAGTCAGACTGTCATCCTGTCTAGTTTTAGCCACAGGCTGATGTTCTAAAGGTTAGGCCATCTCATCACAAAGAATATTGAAAAGGACAACACAATGTATTTCACTGTACTATTAGCTGGCTGGTATATCTCTCCCACCAAATTTGAGGGCTCACTCTGGTTCAGGAATGTGCCAATATCAGAAATCTGTAAAGGTTACTTACCCTTCAGTAACTGGTTCTTTGAGATGTTGTAATGAGTGTGGATCCCATGATCCCCACTTTTTGGAGTTCCTAGCTACTCAGCAATTTGAATTGCCAGAGAACTGAGGAAGGGTCATAGTGACTCTGCCCTTGCCTCAATGGGAGCACGAGGCGGCACAGGGCACATGCCCGGCCTTGACAGACGCTGCTGTTCAAAAAGACACTAATCTCTCACATGTGGAACACATGCACAGCTATAGTGAGATCCACACTGACTACAACCTCTTGAAGAACCACAGTTACTACCGAGTAAGTAACCGATCTTTCCTAATACACCTCATTTGTTCACTTGGGCTAGCAAATACTCTTCGAACCTTCTCTACCCTTTCTCCTCACCCCCACGGCCTTGGACAGAAGTGCACAAAAGTTTGCCAGCTTACCTTCATTGAGCCCCTTGCATCAGTTAAGGGACTCCAGTAATGGGGTAGGAGAGAGGGTCTTCAAAGCAGTAATGGAAAATCTCTTGGCAACTACTGAGTCTGTGTCAGGGTGAAACTGTGACATCTACTCTAAACTGCTGTAGGATGTTATCCAGATCACCTCCTCTAATATAAACAATCGCGTGCTTTTACTAACACCTGGGTGAGCCAAGGGCCCAGGTATTTCTTAGGAGGGAAGGGTCAGGTCTCCCTTTGTCTTAATGTGGTGGCAGCCATTTTGTATGACACACTGGGATTAAACTGGGGATCTCCATAGCTAAAAGCATGATCCTGATAGATCTAAGGAACCAGGTCCTGTAGCAGAGAGCTGTAACAGACTTTCACTCATTGTGGTTTGGGCACAGAGGGGGACTCATAACACAAACTGACCAGTGGGTTACACTAAGAAGGATTGTTCCTCCTCTTTGTCTCTGGTCCTCTTTCCTGGCATTTCCGTGAAGTCCCCTCGGAAAGTGTAGTGTACAGGGCTTAAGATCCCTTGTGTCAGCACCATGCACTCAAACTTGCAGACAGATACATTGAGGACTCTGGTTGAACCCTCTCAGCTTCCCTCTGACACTCCTTAACTTTAATGCTGCTTCTCTTCAACCTTTTACTCCTCCCCTGGAAGATGTCTTCCCTGGCTTTTGATTAATTTAAATGTTCTTTGACTTTTCCCATCCACCATAAGTTACTGTCTATAGATGTAGACTTTCATTGCTATGGCAACTGGAGCCCCAAATCTTTCTTGAGTCAGCGGGACTATATTTGCATGACCCACCCATGTCTTTCCAGGGAACAGCTAGCAGGAATCTGAAACAAATGGACTTGTTTGTTAACTTTCCCCAGCTGAACAATGAAAATAGGATAGAGGATTAAACTTTTGTATATGCTTAGTATTTAGTTAATCGCACTTTCAGGAAGAGCAGTGGTGCAGTGTCAGAGAAGCACACACTGCAAGGGAAAATATTTCTAAATGGTTTTATAGAAATATTGCTATTGGCTTTTAGACTTTAAAAATGTGTTTTTACAAAGCCTAAATTGGGAACTAAATTTGACCTGACATCCTTTGAAAACTTCTACAGAATGTGTAAATATATGAAGACATTGACATTAACATTTATAATGCAAAAGCAAAGCACAAGGCAAAATCTGTGGTCTTCAGTCTGCTTTCATACAATACATGCCTGTGCGTTTCTGCACACTGAATAAAACCAGTTACAGTGCAGGCACAGTAGCTAATGTGATATGATAGGTACAGTGAGGTGTGCCCTTTTATCTGATACTAAACTGGGAGGAGTGGTAGATACGCTGGAGGGCAGGGATAGGATACCGAAGGACCTAGACAAATTGGAGGATTGGGCCAAAAGAAATCTGATGAGGTTCAATAAGGATAAGTGCAGGGTCCTGCACTTAGGACGGAAGAACCCAATGCACAGCTACAGACTAGGGACCGAATGGCTAGGCAGCAGTTCTGCGGAAAAGGACC